GAAAGCTCTCCATGCATAGAATTCGAGCTGCAGTGGTACTCGTTTTCACTTCTTGCCTTTCAGCCAAGGTGAAACTTCTTTTTTACATTTTTGCATATATGCAAATGTCATACTGTGACAACTTCGGTGTGTGTGTGTCTATCCAAGTATTTGAGTTCGGCAACAAAGCAAGCTCCGACGCCAAAATTTTGCCAGTGGTTTCCCTGCCTAAGCGCATCACACAAAATAAAGCTTTCAGCTGCGCAGTTAATGCATTCTGCAGAGGCTGTTTTTCTAATTTTAAAGCAAAATAACGGACTGAAGAACTATATCAGAAGGTACCTCATAATCCCAGTCTTGATCAATCAGACATTTCGCTGACCATTCGCGTTTCATCCCACTCTGTTTGCAAAATGTTTCAATCATTTGCTGCTGCATTTCTGTGTCTCCGCCAGCAGCACGCTGCGCTGGAGTTGGCTCCATCAGCACCGGCGTAACACTGTCACTACTGTTTGTTACAGATGTATCACCTAATTCATCGATTGTAGCAACTGTTGACTCGGGAACTGCCTAAAAATTAGCATATTATTCTGAAAAAGATCCCATATTACATATGAATTTGCTTAGCTCTGACCAAAAAGGAAGAAATACGCGAAAGGAAAAAAAAAACCTTTAACAAGTTGGTCATCATTATCTTGTAACGTTGTATCCTTTCGGGGAATACACCACTGACGAAGAGCATATCGCTGACAATTGCTATCTTTCTGTAAAAATTTCGATCAGAATGATGCCGATATGCTGAGATTTTATCAAAACAACCAAAATATTTCAACTGCCGGTGCAAAAACCCAAGTTACCACTAAATTACTTGGTTATCAACAAGCAAAGGGACCATGCGATTCTCAGCTGACTTGTGTTTTTAGCTACTTAAAAAGATTTACTTACAAACTGGAAAAAGCAACGACACCGGCCTATTTTACTTGTGACAGTAGGACAATACGAGTAACGCTCGTTATCGATGTTCACTGACTTTTACGAAAGTTCATGGGAAGGAAGTCAAAAGAAATTCTACGTCTTCACAATACTGAATACTCCAGCAACAATTAATCAATCTCAATTATAGTTTTAATTTAGCCGGAAATAAGGGCTCAAAATAACAGAAGTGACAGAATTTGCTCAAAAACCACAGAACTGATATATTATTCAAATCGAAAATGCAACACGAAAAACTTTAAGGATACCTAAAAGCGAAACTTCTGTAACAAGGAAACTTACCCTTTTCCTTTATTTACAACGACGAAATTGCGGCAAAAGTATTTAAGTTCGTCATTTTCTTGAACTTTAGTCATGCTGTCGCG